AAAAGTCAACTACGGCTGGGCGGTGGTGGTGCACGCCTTTAATCCCAGCACTCGGGAGGCAGAGCCAGGTGGATCTCTATGAGTTCGAGGCCAGCCTGGGCTACCAAGTGAGTGCCAGGAAAGGCACAAAGCTACACAGAGAAACCCTGTCTCGAAAAACCAAAAAAAAAAAAAAAAAAAAGTCAACTACAATAAAATGCACATAGTAGGTAATAATTCTCAGTGGATAGTTATATATTTCAGAAAGAAATAATAAGTAGGATTTATACTTTGCAAAAAAAGGCAAAGAAAATATGTGGTCAGTTAATAATAAAAGTATTTTAAATAATAATGAAAGTCCAGAAATGGATTATTGTTTTTACTGTTTTTATTTAACTTTTTTATTTACTGTACATCCTGACTGCATTTTTTTTTTGGTTTTTTTTTTTTTTTTTTTTTTTTTTTTTTTTTGAGACAGGGTTTCTCTGTGTAGCTTTGCGCCTTTCCTGGAACTCACTTGGTAGCCCAGGCTGGCCTCGAACTCACAGAGATCCACCTGGCTCTGCCTCCCGAGTGCTGGGATTTGTTCTTTTCAAAGTGAAAAGAACAAGAGTCAGCACACACATCTGAATAATGTTCATGAATAAAAGGCATTTTAAATCTTTATTCTCCTACTCATCTCAATGGTGCAGAATATACCAAGGGAGGTTGTGTATAAAAATAAAAATGAGAAAATTAGTAATAAAGTTCAGTCCTAGAAGCATAGGTTTACAAGTCAGAAATCCCAGGCACAGCTACCAGCTGCCACCACTGCCCAGCCTCCTGACTGCATTTTAATAGATAGTGTTGCGTTAAGCTCAGGAGTCTACCAGTTGTAGGCATGCATCTCTCTTCTTATATTTTCATTTTACTGGTTGTGCTTTATTTCAGTATAATTTCGTTACTCTTACATAGGCCATGAGACATTCAGAGAGAACCACTTCTCAGTCTTTTGCCCAGATGTATGATGAACAATATTGTTACTTCTCTTTCATAGATGGTTAAATAATTTGCTGAGATTAATCTACTCTCCCATGATTAGAATTAGCACATGAAAGAGTTAACATTGGAGTTTGTTTCTGGTCTGTTTGTGTCAGAGTCCTGCACATGCCCCCAGAAGATTTCCTGGGGGTTTGTATGCATATGTACTCTTGCAAATCATGATTTTCCCTGGGTCATCCTTAACTATCCTGTCACACATGCCAGTTTCCTAGTGTTGCCAAGCCTGAGCCTGGTAGCTGTGCTTGGGATTTCTGACTTATAAACCTATGCTTCTAGGACTGAACTTTATTACTAATTTTCTCATTTTTATTTTTATACACAACCTCCTTTGGTATATTCTGCACCATTGAGATGAGTAGGAGAATAAAGATTTAAAATGCCTTTCATTCATGAACATTATTCAGATGTGTGTGCTGACTCTTGTTCTTTTCACTTTGAAATGACATTTTAAAAAAAGGTCCCATTCTGCTAACGTTCTTTTATTTCCAGCCCCAGGACCTTGCACATCATTTTTGATGCAAGGTTTTTGTCTTAGCAGGCAGACACATTCAAATGGTCCATATACTAAAAATTAGGTCATCTGTTTTTTTCATTGAGATATAGAGGATACATGTGGAGTAAAGATGAGAAGGTGATTAGTGCAACTAGCCAGGGAGCACATTCATATAGAAGTAGATATTCTGCAAAATTAGTCATCTCCTCTGATCTCTTAGGATTAGCATGTGAATAACATGGTAATCTTCAGCCCCTAGGGAGTACAGAGCATTGAAAGTGAAAGTAACTCTAGGGAAAGTAGCAGCTGCTCGTTAATCCCCTTGTCTAGGTGTTTGTATCAGTTTTGAACAGTGTGTCGAGTTCTGCAAAGACTTGCCTGAGAGCTGCCTGACGTTATATTCTCTTGCTCACCACTGAGATACTCTCTCTGGTGACTTAAAATTACTGAGATCCAGACAGAAGCCTTTGCTAGAACCATTGAATAGACCTTTCCTCCTGAAGATTGTATTACAGATTTTTTAAAAAGTAAGTTTATGGTACAGTTTGTAGTGTATTCATACTTTCTAGTTTTTGGAAAGTCATGTATTTTCTAGATTTACAAAGATTAAAAATATATACATAGGGCATCAAATTCCTTTTGAAATATGATGATATTACATCTCCTCCAACCAAAAGAAGTTGGCTAGGTTTGCTTTCCTTATAAATATCAGTGGCATTTGCATAATTATTGCTGTATGAAACCTGAAGTATCTGACCTAGTAGAATAGACAGTGGAATCCTTGTTACCAGGAATTCTGGAGGACAATGAATACAAAGTCACAGCAGGGTAGGAGGGTTATCTGTTGGTGTTCTGCTACAAAAAGAGTGATTATAATTAATAGCATTATATTGTATAATTCAAAATAGCTGGCAGAGAAGATTTTTGAATGTTCTCATCCCAAAGAAACCATGTGCTTGAGATGAGGGATAACTGAATCTTTCTGAATTGATCAATATGTAACATGAAGGTTCAAAATCATCATATCCTACCCAGTAAATACACATAGTTATAACCTGTCAGTAAAAAACTTAGATAGAAATATTGGTAGCATTAAAACATTTAATAAACAATTTCCAAGGATAAATTAATTTGCAAGGCTCCTCAACTTTTGATTGCCTTTCCTTTCTTGACCAACTTTTCCACATCCTCTTTGGTCATCTCCCATAGTCCTTATCATCTGCTTCACTCATTTCATAGTGGTACAATTACTGACAGCTACCACTTACTCATTACCCCTCTTGGGTCTTACACTACTGACCTTTGAGCCTAGATGGTTCCTTGTCATTAAGGGAACCCCATGAATTGTGGGATGACTGGATGTACCCATGACTCCTGCATGCTAATGATGGTATCATCTTCTCATACTGATGACCAATGATGTCTCAAATATTGCCACATGTCTTTGGGGACATACCTTCTCTGGTTTAGAACCAATGTCTTATCTTATAGGAGACAATATTGCATTCAATTCTCTATAAACTGAAACTGATAAAGGAGTCTATTAATCAGATTAAGTCACCGATGCCAAGGAAGGGATGGGTGAATGAGAAAAGGGAGAAAGGGCTTATGGACCATATTATCATTAGCATTATTGCTGATTTGCCATGCTGTTTGTAGGGGAAAGATCAGGGTTAAAGGGTTGCAGATACACCCAGAAAATGGCCACATCAAGAAGCCATTCACAGGGCTGAAGGAGAAGGAACAATTGATCCTTTAGTTCTAAAGTCATGGATCAGTGACAGTCAGTGAGGAAGGGAAGGCAGGATGTACAAAGCTGAGACCACCAATAAGCACCCTCTGTCTCCCTCCACTGCCTCATGAAGTGACAAGCTGGTGCCTTTGTTCCCTCTTGACAGCCAGTGTTTAGTCCATTATGTTTCACCAAAAGTTGTGAGTAGATCTCAGCCTGAAAAGAAGAAATCTGTTTTTTTCTGAGTAGGTGATAGGCAAAACAGAAAAGTTGTCCATAGAGTAAATATTGGAGACTCAAAGTCCTTTTATATGATGTCAATATTTTCAAGCACAATATAAATTACACAACAAAACAAGAAAAGAGTTTGCTTATTTTTATATCTGAAAAATGCAGTAGTTCCCTGTTTAAGCAGTTTAGGCTGCAGGGAAGAGAACAAGAAAACAAAGAAATATAGACAATTCATGCCTTGTAGTGGTGGGGGCGCTCTGTGCTCTGAGCTCTACTGCTACTGTTCTTTCAAAGGAAAGATGTTCATTTATCAGAAGCTTCAGGAACACTGTGTCCAGTGTGGGCAATCACTGGCACTTTACAAAAGCTATCTTCTAATTTTTATGACAGTCCACTGTAAGGAAAAGAGGAGTATCTAGCATGTTTAGGACAGGGCAGGGTGCCTGGGCACAGGCCTGGCTTCATCCCATTGCCTCTGTGACATTGGACAAGTTACTTACCCTCTGTAGTTTAACTTCCACATCAATACTATAACATTACAGATAGCATAAATACCATATGCATGTTTTATGTGTAAGCAAGTTAGTATTGATAAAACACTTAGGATAGTATTGCAACATAGAAAATAACCTATAATGTCAGTTGTCATCAGAAACAGCCTTGTGATCACACCACCACCACCATCATTATCATAGATAATGGACTTCGACTATAACAAGTTGGGACCCATTGCTTGCATTTTTCTAACATAATTATTTAAAAATACAATAAATGATAACCATATAGATTTGCTACTTGGAATAATGTAGGCAAAGAAATAGTAATATACATATGGGTGATGTGAGTTTGTGTTTTCAAACATATACACTAACTTCAAACGTCAATTCTACCTTGGTCAACTTCTTTTCTCCGGACTGGCTGCTGAGGACATGGAAAGGGTTACTCACAGTGGCACCAGTTCATGTTGTGTTACTGTGTTGAGCATGTTTTCCCAGAGTTTTAGGTTAGAAACTACTGACAGAGAAATATTTCAGGAGTCAGAATTAGACGTAAATTATGTTCTGCGGAGGTGTCTTCCTATTACCAGGGTCAGGTCAGAGTCTCCAACCTCACATTAAATTACTGTTTTAGTGGTTATTGAATTTCAGTCTTGAGAGAATTAAGAGGCCAGGCAGTGAAGTATAATAAATCTTACTCAGACCTACCAGTAATTACTGATTAAACCTCCCATTAACAATTACAATTGTGCTAGATAAAAGTTAAGTAGGAAAGTGTTTTTGCTTCCATTTCACATTCGTGTTGAGAACAACAGAACTTATTTTATAAAATAACTACTATATTCGTCTGTTTGATTAATGTAGAGTCGACACCTTATTTATATGGTTGGGTTTTTCATTTGAGAAGAATGGACCAGGAGAAGTTAGGCTTTCTTATTTATTTGATTTTTTTTTTTAAGTTTAGACACAGGAGAATTTGGCTCTTTATTTTTTAATTTTTATCTATTTTCTTTGTCTCAATTCCCAGCCTCAGAGCCCAACCTGAAGGTGCGGTCCAGGTTAAAACAGAAAGTGGCAGAGAGGAGAAGCAGCCCCTTACTCAGGCGGAAGGATGGAAATATTGTCACTTCATTCAAGAAGCGAGTGTTTGAGGTGACAGGTAATTGAGGATTGGGTAGTCACACACTAACACCTGCTGGTCACAGGAATTCCATTTTAAGTTTAGAGTAAATATGTCTGCGCATTAACAAAACTTATTTTGAGAACTATTTCTTGAAAGGCAATATCTTTGAAAACTCACAAATAGTTCAGTAAACCTTGCTATGTGTTCACCAGCTGTGCAATGTAGGAGATGGAGGGTGGAAGCCACCTATGTGTCGATCAAGGCTAAGCCACACCAATGCTTGCCCTGTTCTCTAGAGAGGGGCAGTCCGACTGGGAAATGCCAACCACTGGACTCTAACTTTTGATGAAATCTGATCAGAAATGAGCAGAGGGAGTTTCAAGAAGAGCGTGTCCCTCCCCCTACTCAGACATGAATGTAGGAAATACATCTGGGAAAATTAAACTACGTGGAACACAAAATCCTTGACTTTTCAACAAATTTACAGAACTCATAAATGACTTTATGTGTTTACTAGTGGTCTGGGACTCATGGCAGGAGGGGGAAATACTGCTTTTTATGAAGGGGAAAAGACTCGTTTTCACTGGTCTCAAATGGAAGAGTTCACATTTTTTCAACTGCCTGGTTAGAAGTGGGGTGAGCAGGTTAGGAAATTCAACCTGATGGCTTACAAACCCCTCCGTCGTCCCATTTGTACCTGTTTGAAATTAGAGAAGTACCTAAGAATACAAGAGCCTAAAAGGCTAGCCACAATAATGCTGGCTATGGCTTCCCAAGGATACAGGAACTCGAAGGGCTACACAGAATAAGACCGACCATCATTTACTGGGTGCTCAGAGGGATGCATTGTGCTGGACATATGCAGGGGACAGAGGTTCTGGTCGGAAGCTCTGTTCTCTTTCCTAAGGAACTGTGTGACTCTTCCGGTGTAAGCAGTCGCTCTCAGATCACATCGCACCCTTCACGTTTTTCAAATAATGGGTTTCCTATCTCTCCTTTAGTCAGAGCCAGTTCAGAGAGGAAAGGCAAGAGTCTGAAAGAGGAGAAGTTAGGTAAATCACTGCAGATTAAAAGTGACAGATTATTTCAGTTTGTAAAACACATCTCAGCCTCCTCTCTAGTCACAAACGATTGGTATTGTTAAGTAAAAATAGTATTTGATGATTGTATTTTGAAAACTGTTTCTTTGAGGATGAGAAATTTTGAAGAAATGAACAATAATTGTTTTTAATATCGATATAATCACAAGTTTATAGTAATTAAATTCTAAGTTTGAAATATAGATTTGTTTTCTTAATTTTATGAGATAAAAATTCATCCTTTTCATCTCAGGAATGATGTGAAACATGCCTGCCTTGTGTGGATACAACTTTTATACACTTCTAGCCTATGAGCGGATGCTGGCAGATATTTTAATGAACATTTTGATTGTTACTTTTTATTTCAAACTAGTATTTTCCACTGAGTCTAAATGTATTTGGAGGATCTGAACTTCCGCACACTGGTGTCTGCAGCTGGTCCCCTTCCCTGTTCCCAGTGGATGTCCATCTAACGGGATAGCCAGCGGTCCCCTTCCCGTTCCCGGTGGACGTCCATCACTAGCGGGATAGCCAGCGGTCCCCTCCCGTTCCCGGTGGACGTCCATCATCTAACGGGATAGCCAGCGGTCCCCTTCCCGTTCCCGGTGGACGTCCATCATCTAACGGGATAGCCAGCG